GGAATTATTTTCTAGTAATGTTGGGCTATTATAAAATATTGAACCGAACTAAAGTTTAAAGCTTAGAGCTCACAAATCATTGATACCATTAAAATAACAATAATCATATTTATTAAATCAACGGTTGATTATGGATTATACGACTATTAGTTATTAAACTGTTATTATCCATTGCAAAGTTTACTATCATGGAATTACGAGATTTGCATTGCCTTTCATAGATAGGCTGAAGTTGGCTCAGTAATTGTAAGTGGTTACTATTGAGAATGGAAATACAAAGGGAAAATTCATTAAATTATTCACTAATTTAATTTTCTAAAAGTTTACGTGCTGATTTTTCGTAATAAACGGACGACAGATACCTAATTACTTAAATAATATATCAGATCTAGAGTTATTAAACTAAAGCAAATTTATTTAAGGTTATTGACGTATACATGAAATATTTTTATATTTCACTTCTTCTTTAACACAAGTACAATGGAATAGCATCTTAAACAATGCCATGCCTTGATTTCGTATTTCGTTCGTATTTAGCTTTTTTTTCATAACTCCTAACAATGATACTTTAGAGAAAGACATTTTGAACATTGGGCATTTAAGCCCTCTTAAGCGACATCTATAATGATAAGACCTAAATGATATTAAAGATTATTTAATTATACATTTTAGTTTAAGTAAAATCGTTAGAGCCGTTTTGAGAAAATCGTAAAAATGTGTAAAACCGATTATATAAAGTGGCACTTCCGATTAGCCAATTTTTGACGAATAAGTTGCTGCAATATTCCAGACATGTACAAACCTCAAATACGAAATTTGAGTTCCGTTCATTTCGTTTTTGTACTAGACTGTTCACACACACACACACACACACACACACTTGATTAATTGGACTCAGAGTACCCCAAAACGTGTGTTTGTGTGAAAACTAAGATTCGAAAATTTTCACGATTGCAATACTTACCTATACTATATATTACATATACAAAAAAAAAAAACTATTGGCCGAAAATACTGATGTATATTTTTAAAAATATCCATATTTCAATAAATATATATTTTCCCAAAGTGCTATTTCAAATACCATTCTGGAATGTAAAGTGTGATTCGTCTACCAATGGATGGTATTCCTGAATGTTTACGTCGAATTCAGTTATATTAAAAAAGATCTAATAAACAAAACTGCTTTATTAGAAACTATATCGAAAATTTCATAATGATATAATGTAATGTAAATTGCCTGCTTTAATTGCCTAATTGTCAAAAAAGTGGAATATTGTATAAAAACAATATTTTCCTAACAAATATTATGAGAATAGGCTGGAGGGAATGGGATTAATAGAATTTTAGTAATGGCGAAAAAACATCAGGACCCCATCTTTTTTGCCCTTACATGGAGTAATTGGTGACCTCACATATATATGAAAATACCCATGCAAGATCAACTGGAAATGGGACAACTTTGTAGGCAACTGGTACGTGTGCAAGTGCACATTTATTGTTTTTATATTTATTGCACATTATTTTTCAAATTTGGATATGATTTTTACAGATGAACATTTTTTTCAATAAGAAAGGCATTTTTAATTTTTTTTTGAGTTCCTTTGGTACTTTTAAAAGTATATTATGTTTTTTGTTAATATGAACAATAAGTAAAAAATACTAAAGTTAGATAATTGGCAGTTGTTTTATAGATTACATTTATTTCAATTTCAAGTAGAAGTTGTCTATGTTAAAACCATTTAAGGGGGACTTAAAGTGATTAAACAACATGTTCTATTTTTGGAAAAATCATGGATTATTTCCTTTTTTTTTTTTATCACCATCCAACTGTACCAAAGATACTCAGCTTTTTGAAAAACTCCTTGTTTGATAAACCTTAAGTTCATACTTAGTAAGTTCAAGTTTGTCACGGAATAAGTTGAGATTAATAGAGATGAATGAACAAAATGCTTTTTGGATAGAATAAAATTGTAAGTTAATATACTTTAAGCTGTTTGCTGTAAAGCAAGAATGGGTTTCAATCGACTAAATTAAGCAACGTTCTATTATTCGTAAAATCAGAAATTATTCTGGATATGTTTATTTTTTTTTCGGCCAACAAATTATCCACAAACTTTCTATTTTAATAAATTTTGCTTGTTTTATATATTTTAGGTCCATATTAATTAAGTTTAAGAATGTTTCAAAATAAGTTGAGATTCGTCTCAACCTCATCCGGATACAACACTCTTTAACAATTGGATGTCACAACCAAGTTAAGGTAAAAGTTCATTATTATAAATTAATACACTTAAAAAATGTATTTCGGAAACTATTTGAGAGAAGAAAGAATGCCTTCTGTGATTTGATATTCTACTACCCAAAACTACCTGTGTTTCAGCAAAAAATTACTAAAATAAATTATTATTGAGCATTATTTTTTTTATATGATCTGGGATGTACAAAAATATACCTTTGAATTATAAAAAATATTTTTAGAATACTTCTTTTCAAAAATTTATCATCTAAAGCAGAGGTCTCCAATTTTTTTGGTCCACGGGCCCTATTGAAACCTTTTAAGTTCCGCGGGCCTTGGCTTGCGATGAAAAAAATATCTTGTTCTATAAACGACACTTCAGCTGTGAAAGGAATTTTCAAAGAGAAATAACTCAGGCAATAAATGTTATAGTAATCTCGTGTTCGAGTTATTTACTATATTTTGATTTTTTTTTTTAATTTTACCATTTAATCACAATAACTTTGGATGGTCGGACTGAAGGCGCTGGTGGACCGGATCCGAAGTTTGGAAACTCCTGATCTAAAGTGATAATGCACCAGCGATTTTTTAACATTTTTTTATAATTTTTTTTTTCTAACCCTCCAAAATGTTTATTGAAACAATTTACATATATAGTATACATAATAATACAATACATAATACATGTAACAAATTCCTTCCACTGCCCGAGGGCATTTTAAGAATAATCATGAAAAAAATTTTATAATGGGGATTGATCCTTATTATATTCATCTGTTTTCATGAAAATAAATCAGGAATTAGCAGTTTTAATTTTTTATTTTTTATGTGTCAAAAATATCTCCTTTTCATTAATTTATCATCCAAAGTGATAATGGTAAATGTTTGTTACATAGATTTTTATACAGAGAACTGATCATTTTTGTACTAAGAGGGCCAACTACATGTTCCTAATTAAAGAAATTAGAGTTAATCTATAATAATGAGCTTTTACCTTCAATTAGTAGTGACGTTCAATTGTAAAAAAATGTTGCATTCGGATACAACATCCCCGTATTTGGAAATTTTGCGTAACAGCACAAGTAAATTACGTTACGATTTTATCAATGGCTTTCCGAAAAGAATCTTGTTATTCTCCAGTCTGACCACTGACCTCTACTTCATCCCTTTTGCCCGTAACATTTCTTTTCTCATTCACTGGGAGTGGTTTGAACCGGCAAGTTCCTTCCACTCCAACATAAAACTTTTTCAAATTTTAGTACTTCTAGATAGTCATCAGCCGTCAAAACGTAGAACTCGTGTCTCCCATAATTAATTAATTAATTTACTCTGCAGAACAAATTCCATTGTGAATGTACCAGATCATTGCATGATGTCCTCTATTACACAGTACACCTGTCTGTTAGGATTGTTTTAAAGTTTTGATATGTTTTACGACAATTTTAGATTTATAAAAACAATTTCACATTGCTTAACAATGGTGCTTTTACATTATTGAAATAAATTGTATACTAATTATAAGTGTAGCTGGAGTTCTGCACTACACAGTTCGTGTTACTGTGACCTTAGTTCCAATAAAATTCTGTTATCTACCTTTTCTTTAATTTAAAATAAAATTTTGAAGTGAAGTAAATTAGAAATTTGATTCATTTTATCATCTATTAGCAATTTGAAGAACCATAAAAGTGTGTACTGCAGTAGTTTTTCAAACAACTGTTCTGTTTTTTAAAACTTTTAACTGATAATAAATGTAATAAACTTTAAGATTACTTTAGAAAAAAAGTACTTAGGGAATGGATTAAGACAAGTGGAGCACTACGATGGTGTCGAGTTCGCCTATGCTAAGCAGTAAACATTTAGGACTTCCGCCTTCCCAAAAAAATAAGGTTCAACATAAAGGTCATCAATTTTACATTTAACACTCTCTTTTACAGAAAAAAAAATAGTTTAAACATGAAGGTCATAAATTGAACATTTTTATTAGGTTCGATTATTTAATTTTTTTAAAATCTTTTATGTAATTCCCAAATATTGAATAAGGATATATTTATGAAAAATAAGAACTGCATTTCAATATGCCTTATTTAGATGTATTTGGTTTTTTTGTTGTTGTTTTTTTTTGTATTTTTCGATTATCTGCGCCTCGCTATTTATGGCATGGGGGAGGGAGGAGCAGGGGTTGTTCTAGAGGTACTATCGAACTTATTCTAGTTAGAGTGAGAAGGTCGAGATTCAGTCAGATCTTATTTAGCTGTTAGGATGCTTTAGACATTTCACTATGGGAAACACAATCATTTAACTTAGCTAATAGCGACATTAGCCCAAACCTTGTTTTTTTTATTTCTCTTGTTACTGACTGCACACGGAATAGGTCAAAACAAGCAGAAAAATTACTGGCACAGGGAACAACTTCTTATATAAAAATTAATAAGTATATCATTTCTTCACTTATTAAGACTAGTAACAATTAGTGTAAACAAATAGATCATGAAAGATAAATTAATAAGAAAATTCAACCATTTAAATATTTGTTTTTCTGATAGTTTAAAAAATTTCTAAAACAACCTTTAATTATGCAACATAAAGCCTACACAGAAAAATAAAATATACATAAGTATATAATTTCTTCACTTATCAAGACTACTAACAATTAGTGTAAACAAATAGATCATGAAAGATAAATTAATAAGAAAATTCAAAGTATTTTAATATAGGATAAATTAAGCTATTACAAAATTCAAACTGTATAGAGCGGGGCTCACTCATTGTGTAGAGCGCCACGAGTGAGTAATGTTGTAAAGAAAGGTGACAGTTTTGAGCCATGTCCGATCTTAGCAGTTTAAGTGTTGATGCAGTTAAGGCTTTTATGCTTTCTAAGGGTGGTAAAGTGACAAATCATGAGTTAGTGAAACATTTCAAAACTGTTTTGACACATCCTGGAACAAGAGGTAAGAATTATCCTTTTCTAAAGGATTTGAAACCAAGATAACATCACTATAACCTACCTACTGTTTGTTTATATCATTCTTTTCACTAATTTCCTTGACATTGATGAAAACAAATAGTTGAATTATAATTATTTTGTAATTTTATGTTATATTGTTATAAAAGATAATATTATTTAAGTCTTTAAGACCATATCAGAGCTTTAAAATAACATTTTCTGTTATCTACATTTATATTTGCTTGAAAATAAAGTTTCATTTACTTCTACGGGTTTATATTTAAATAATATTTATAAAATACCCCTTTAAAATCTTGTGTCAATACCTCATTACAATGTTCAATGTATGAACAGTATAAGCTCATAGACGGTTAATATATCGGTTTTAATTTTACCAAATAAATTCTTTTTCCTGCAGTGTCAGCTTATGTATTATTTGTTGTGTTTTTTAAGAGCATGTAAGGTTTATATTCATTGAGACGTTTAATGATAAGTTATGGCATGACATCGTATCTATTTATCTATTTTTGAGTGAAAATGACTCATTATAAGTCATCTTTACCCAAGGAACAGAAGAGAGTATAATTGTTAACTTATATTATTTCTATTACTGATTGGTTTTAATGTATGTTAAATTAGTAAATTTGATAAATAAAACATAAACCTGAATTTTTCAAACGATAATTTATATATTTATTTGATCATTTGTAAAATTATAGTTTAACATTGTAAATGTTTTGAATTAATGTGACCAAAAGTAATAATTGTATTAAGACAGTTAATATTTGTTTACAATGATATGAATTACATTTTAATAATTTTACTTTTTAATTTAAGTAGTACTATAATATAATACATTGTGAATAATTACTCAACTATTTTGTTGGTTGTGAATGTTTATTTTTTAGTGAAGTTTAGTCAAATAAATCTCCTTATTTATTGATCTATTTTATAGATGAAGCTCGAATCAAATTTAAAGAAATAGTTAATACTCTGGCAACAATCACAAAAGATTCAGAGGTGAGTTAAGTTTAATTTCAGCTAATTGCATGCTATCTGACATTCTGAGTAAACACAATAAGGTACGCTTAACAGTTCAAACTCTGTAATCTAATCAATGGAATTAGAAAAAAATATAGATACCGAGTAAATATTGGTATTACCCAATATGGGGGCAACAGACAGCAAACCTGTCGATGTGAGTAATTTCCTTTAATTAGTATTTTTTGGTTGTTTGCTATTTTGATTTTTACTCTATAATTCATTTTTATTGTGTTTAAAGTAGTCAGTAAAAGTGAACAATAGCTGTTGCAGTGTATTTCATTTTGATCATTCTGATAATTATTTTGATGTGGTTGTGTAGTGATATTTTTATAATTGCAAATATGATTTTGTTTTATGGTTCAATACATTCCTAATATTGTACAATTATTAACAGAAAGATGAGCAGTTACTTAATATCTTTTTATTTTTAAAAATTGTGCCGCAGTTTTTTTTATGTCAAATACAAAAATATCCTTCTTTTACTTTAATACTTGACCATAGCTAAAAAGCATAGAAAAGTATGATTTATGTTTTATTTAAACGTTCTGGAAACATAATTCTTATAAGAAATCAGCATATTTCTATCAAATTAAAAAGGACTTCTTTATTGCCCTTTCTTGATACTATCTACCTTAGTAATCTCATCTTGATGTTGACAAAGAGGACAAAGAAACTTAAATGAAACGGAAAAAATAATATTTGAGTTTATTCACAATTATCAAAATCAAGTTAATAAAAATTTCATGAAAGCGGTTTTAGACTCTTTAGCTAGTCGCACCGACACTTGTTAGTTATATACTTCTTATATCAGCGTAGTTATATCACATCATTTATTTTTAACTATTGTACTAAGAAAAAATGATTCATTTTAAAGAGTTAAAATTACTTTCAAAATAAAAAAAAATTCAAGAAACAAAAAAGGGAATCACTAACATTATTAATATTATTATAAATTATTTTAGACTAGATATTATATTATAATATAGTTTGAAGGTCTTATAGAACATTTTTATGCTATGATTTTCATTATGATGTGAATTTGTCATTATTTTTAATTTTACATAACTACCAATTATTTTGCAATATTTATTGGTTAGTGAATGTTAGTAGAATGTAAGTTATTAAAATTAATGAATTGAGAGAGGGATTAATTTCTGTTTCAATTAGATACAGTAATGTCTGAGTGGGAAGATAGTTAAATATTGTATTAATTAATTATATATGGAAATCTTTCTGCTACATTGTTAATATTTATTTTAAAAGTTTTCAAATATTATCGGGATCTTGGTCCTTTGTTAATTGTATGACTATGAATAGCACTTATTAAATCAGGCGATAAATAATCAGGATTTTAGTAATATATTTTTATTATGGATGCCAAAATTTTGATCTTAAATTTGTTAGTCATTATAAAGAGATATTGAATCTTGACTATTTATCATGTAAGATAACCTTTAATTACTCATCCATCCCTCTATTAAAAAATGTTCAAGTTCTGGATCTTTACAATTTTATATAAAAAATAAATATATAGTATATACTTACTTATTCATGAGTTAATAAATTATTAAATTTTGGTGTTATCAAAGTCATTTCTTATGAATGCTCAGAAACATTATTGGTTTACTGTATGTTATTGTTACTGTAAGATCAGGTGAAATCCATCCAAAATGAAACTAACGATATAAAGCCATATAAGTGAGTTAATAAATTATTAAATTTTGGTGTTATCAAAGTCATTTCTTATGAATGCTCAGAAACATTATTGGTTTACTGTATGTTATTGTTACTGTAAGATCAGGTGAAATCCATCCAAAATGAAACTAACAATATAAAGCCATATAAGGCCTTATGAAACTCTCCAATAACTATAAGAATTTAACCTGTTTTCAGTAATTGACCATTAGTTCTTTTTCCATAAGATTCTTATTCCAAATTATATGTACAGGCTGCTGATATAAATGAAGTTAATTTTGTTATGTTTTATCGATCATTTATCTACACTTATGTATGTCAATATCTTTCCTCTGTTTTATAATTTCATATTATTCATTTTTGTTAATATTGATTGCTTAATTTTAATGGAATTCGGGAAATGCTGTCTCCTTATTATTACCTGCATAACACAGACATGGAGGACATGATGGCCGAACATGTTAGCAGGAGTGTCTCAGGGTGCTGAGTGTAGAATGTTGTGGATTCAATTCCCACCTGGGTCAGTTAATATTTAAGGCTTTGAAAAATAAATTTTAACACTCCCATTCTGGTTAGTACGAGGTGGCAACCTCTAGTAAGCTTTTAGAAGTTGGCAAAAAGAATAAAAGGCCCACTAGTTTCAGTGACCAGTAACAAACCTACAAATATATAACCATATATTCTACTTTCTAAGAAATAAATACCAATAAAAACCAAAATTTGAAGTTTAGTTTCGTTACTCCTTACAACTTGGACAGTAAGTAAAACGTCAAAACTGTTAACTCAAGAGATTTATGATATTGTTAAGAACAATATATGTAAGATTTAAAAAAAAAATCTATCGCAGTGACACATTTACCATTATCATAGATATGAAAATTAATCATCTTTTTGTAGTATTGATGTTTTAATTGCTTCTCAAAGTAAATTAATGTTTTACGATTATAGTTAGTCACTTTATTGATTAATATTTATATAAATTAAAAATTATTTTGTAGTATTTTTACTTTCACTTACATATATATGTAATATTAAGTATTAAGTATTGCGATCGTGAAAATTTTTGAATCTGATCTTTCAACAAAAATACACCTTTTGGGGTATCCTGAGTCCAAATAACCAAGTCCCGAAAAATGGTCTGTGTGTGTATGTTAGCAGTCTAGCTCAAAAACGAAAAGTAGTACGAAACTGATATTACCTATTTAAGATAGGTATATGCCTTAGATGTGACATCAACCTTTTGCTTTAAATCGGCTAACCGGAAGTGCCACTTCATATCAACGGTGAAACACATGTTTACAATTTTCTCAAAAAAGGCTCTAACGGTTTTAATTAAACTCAGCGTATCATTGAATAATTAAGTGGTCTATAATATCATTTAGGTCTAATCGCATAATATTATATGCGTCTTCCTCTAAAGTATCTTTAATATGGTTTATTTTAAATAATTAACTATCTCTCATTATTAAGAGTTACGAAAAAATGCTAAATATAACTTTTGAAAAAATTTGATAATTTGAATAATGGAGAAAAAAATGAAAATGCTTATCCAGGTCGAAAATGAATCTCCGAAAATACTAATCAGAAGGAATACGTATAATATTTCGTTGGAAAGCGAAAAATTTTAGAAAAACAATACTAATATAGAAAGTTGTAGAAGGTAACGGAGAGTGGCAAAAAAATTATAAATAATAACTTTTGAAAACTAAAATTATTTAACGTAAATCTCATGTTTTCAAAGAAATTAAATGAAATTTACTAACTAACTAATTTGAAAAAATATTTAAAATCCATCTAATCAAAGCAATGACATTGTTTAAAAAACTATCTCATTGCACTTGTGTGAAAGAAGAAGTGAAATATAAAATCATTTCATGGATGTATAAAGCATATGTTTATAACCTTAAATACATTTACTGTAGTTTAGTGATTCTAGATCTGATATTATATTTAAATAATTAGGTATCAAAGTCCGTTTATTTCGAAAAATCGTCATGTAATTATCCTTCTTTAAAAAAACATAAAAAAGAAAATTCGTATGTAAATGATGCTCCGAAATAAGTATATGGCTAGAGTATGTCATAATATATTAATGTTAAAACTGAATTACTGGAAGTCATAATATTTATGATCGATTTTATATTTTTTTTCGAAAACAGGTCTTTGAATGATATTAAAGTTAGTTAGATCTTATCCTCATTGAAATAGCTAGAATGGATTAATTGTCGGATTTTCAGAATGCCCTGTAAGATACCTTTAATTTATTTCATTTATAATAAGTACCTTTCTCTTGGTGTTTGTAGTATCGAGAAAACAACAAGTATAAACTATAAATAAATTTAATAGTTCACAAAACGAGAAAAAAGGGGAAAAAATTTTCCACGGTTGATAATATGGTTGGTGCATCCCTGTGGGTTAGTGCACTCCCAACTCTCTGACCAGAGTTCGATTCAGACTGTAATTATTTATGTTTTTTTATGATTGAGAATCAATCAAGGGTCGAGGAAATCTCATAGAGGGTGCCCAGCCACTAATAAAGTGGGAACCTGATTCTTTAGTATATTTTAGATGAAAACTGGTGGTTGAGTATGTTTTTTTTTAATTGCTTAGAGCCAATAAATCAATAAAAAACTTGCAAATGTAGCAGAAAAACTCTTTTGATTACTATTTTGAACCGTGGAGTGTTCCCACATGTTCTCGAAATCGGCAGGGAATGCTGTACGAACTGAATTAAATAGCTAAATACTTTCGTTCACTTCGATATTTTGATAATAAATCTTTCATTGTTTTATTCCACAATTTAATGTTCCTGGTGATTTCAAAGATCCTTGATAATCCATATTCTAATTTATTTTTTCGCTGACTCTTTAAATTTATCCCGATTTTCTACGATATTTTAAACTGCGTCAGTTTAAGTGTTTTCAAATACTCCTTATCTGGCATCACGACCCACTTGATGAGTCGGAGCCTGCTTTAAAGATTACACTATTTTAAATTAAAGTATAACTTGGCAAGTACTGAAAGCCGAGCTGACGAAGAGTAGGGGAGAGAATGTGGTCTATACTAACTGTCGTAGGTATAGTTCCTATACTCTATCTTGTAATCAATATGATGGTTTGACAAAAAATTATCAGTTTTTAAATTGCTAGTATATTGATCACACGATTTTCCTAACATCTTTTGGTGCTGAGTCCAGTATACAATTTTTTTATTTTATCTTCACGCAATATTCTCTGTGGATGAGTGCGTGTGTGTCAGAGCTTAAATGAAGAATTTTGCAC